CCCGTGCAGTGAATAAACTGGCGGGTTGTGATGATGGTGGTCAAAGTAGGATTGTGCCGAGTGGGAACCAATTTCTGTCCTTGCTCGCGTCTGTCGCCGTGTTTGACGGGCGGCACGGGCTAGCCCAGTGTTTCTCAACCTTGACAATTTTAAGGCATGTGGACTTCAACTCCCAGAATTCCACACCCAGCAATGCTGGCTGTGGAATTCTGGGAGTTGAAGTCCACATGCCTTAAAATTGTCAAGGTTGAGAATCACTGGGCTAGCCTTTGCTGAGAGGCGAGTTGCTAAATCTCCCTTGCTGATGCTAGCAAGGAAAAACAACAAAGAGCGGTGACATTTCCAAACTGATAAAGTGAGCACAAACGTTTGTCCGCTGAAGCCCACGTTATCAGTAGTGCCACCTCTTTTTTTGGGGTGGGGGGAATGCATCTCTGCAGTTTTCTTGGCAGCCTTGCGAAATAGATTGTCGGGTTTTGCTTTTTTTGGGGGGGTGGGGTTCGACTTGCAGTCGAGCAGCCCATCAATCACCCATCCAAGTATTAATGCCATCTCACCTCATTCGACGTTTTGTTAAATATGGTCAAATTGATATTGAGCGGTCCTTTGGCTATTGATTGATTGCTCAACTACCTCTTCCCATTTTTAGATGAGTGGTTCTGAATCTGGCCATGGATCCAAGTGCTGCCAAAGGAGAAAAAAACACACTCTCCGAGACCACGAGGGCAAAGATTGAGAGGAACCGCCAGCGGGCTTTGATGCTCAGGCAAGCTAGACTGGCGAACTGGCCCTACCCTTCTCCTGGCGAAGGTTTGCCGTATCCTGTTATTGTGTCATATAGGGGACAATATCTCCTGTTAGTTTGTGCACTTTATAAGGAAGTCATATGAAGATGATGATGTAGGGATGTTCTTAAGACTTTCCCTAGTAAAGTATATTCTGAGAAATTAAACAAGTTTATTGTGAAAAGGGTTGCCACCTTCTTTTGCAGCGAGTGCACAGAGAAGCAAAACGTGGTTCCCATAGTATTATCCATCTACTTTCATTGGACTTGCATTCACAGCCTGCGTTCCTGCATCATAATAATAAGGAAGAATGTTTGTGGAACAAGCTACGGAGAGGGATATTTTATTCAAAACTGAAGAAAAAATGCACATCGACGTTATTGGCTTAATGCGCTGACTAAACCAAGCCATTGTCATTCTGTATTATATTATTAGCATGATGGGCAAACCTAGCCAATTGAGCTTCATTCAGTGAAATGTAATTACATAAACAGTGGCTCAGTGAATATATGGACTCACTCATATCTTCCCAGTTTGTTTTATGAATTAGATCTGTTGCATCACAGTTTGAGGTGGATACGAGATGTGTAAATGTATACATTTCAAGACTGATCTAAAAGTGTTGAAGTCTCATCAGTGACTGAAAGTAGTTTATATAATGAATGTTATGGAGTCGTTTCAAAATAAAGTCATTTTATCTGTACAGGTACACAAATTGTTATTTTATCTTTACAGGCAGTTCAAAAGTTAAAGCACCTCCAAAGACAATAGATACAGGAGGAGGGTTTTTTCTGGAGGAGGAGGAAGAAGAGAAAAACCGACACCAGACTGAGAAAATTGTGCATCCCCCTGGTAATTTGCTTTATTTTAATAAGTGCCTAAATAAGCAAGACATAGGACATTTTGATCAAAAAGAGCCATATGTTCTTGTTTTAGGTTCAGCATTGGTTAAATAAGAATATAAATTTGCTAATCTTAATCCAAAATTGACTGAGAATTACAGTGAGTACGGATGGAGACAACAGATCTAGAGATTACCAGATTGGAATAAGTTGCACTATTGAGTCAAGAATTTCCTTAAAGTGACTCTAGGCAGCATACAAAGATTGAAATCAATAGTTACAGAACAATAACCCTTGTTATCCAAGATAGAGTATCATAAAACCACATCAACAGCACAGCTCACTCGCCTAACCTGGAAAAGCAAGTTCTAATAAGCAGTGCTTGTTTTTATCAAGGTTTATAGATAAGATAAACTTTATTGTCATTTTTTTACTGTGGGCACAACGGCACACATCAAAAATGAAATTTAGTTGCCCGCTCTCAAAGTGAAACACATACATGACACACACCTAAACATACTTTGTAGAACATATGTATAGACCCACCCCCTACATATACATAACAAATAAATACTATAGACAATAAAACACAATAAAATGTAATTTCCAAGATTCCAAAGCTTTTTTTTTTTCTGTTGTATTTGCATTTACTGTTATTGCTACTTTACTATTTTGGATAAATTTAACAGCTTGAATTATCATTATTGTGCTTCCATTCTTATTTTAATAGGGCCGGTATTAGAATTTGATTATCTAATCTGCGAAGAATGTGGGAAGGAATTCATGGACTCCTATCTCATGAACCATTTTGACGTGGCAACATGTGATAATTGCAGGTACAGCGATTTTGTTTCTGTACTTTCAAGTCAGTTCTGACTCTTGGCAACTGTGGATTAAGAATGACTAAATAACTGGATTTAGTGTTTCATTTTGTTAGCATTGCAAAAATTTCTAGCTTAGTGTAAAAAAATAATTATAAACTTAATTTAAGTCCAGAGTCATTGGAGTTGTGCAGCATCAAATCAAATCAATCAATTAAAAATATGACTTTTAACAAGTGTTATATTTTTGGATAATCAAAAAGGAATAATCAAAATATTTTTAAATGTATACCAGCCCCCCAAATGTTGGTAATATGCAAATGAATATATTTTAAAACCATAAATTTTAACAGAAACGGAGTGTGTAATGTTATACCTCCTTTTGCAAGAATATACTCAATTAAACACAATGACATTTATTTTTATAAATGTACATGTAGAAAC